TTAGTCTCAGATGAAATGCTGAATCTTGAATATTTTCCTTTCAGTAATGTTCAAAGTTTCTTGCATTGTGAGGATGTTCAAGAATTTTTTTCTTTGTTGACTGGTGATAGCTAAGAGAAGGAACAAGGTTGCAACAAGGAGTAATTTCTTTATTCAACAGCTTAGTGTCATTAAAGGACACTTATCCAAAACAACAATTGTAATTTCACCAGGAAAGCCATGTTTTTGAAAGGAGTGGGACCTAATTTAACAGCAAGAGTTAAAAATCAGGAACAGTGCTGGAACATATTGGGCAAGAGTCATTCATCACCATTAACTGCTAGATTAAGTATTGGCAAAAGACTGACTAAGGAGTATGAGAAAAAAGAAAAGCAGTGAAATCTTAATGACAGATAAGATTTTTGACGTGTTGTACAATCTAGGAGGCAACCATCCAGCTTTCTCTTTTCTCTTGGACCGAAAATAGCCCAAGGGATGTTTCTCTGTATTTCTTTCTCCTAGAAAAGGGTCAGAATACACAGATTTACCACAATAAATGTGACTCAGCTGACTCAAAATTTCAGGGAACTTACAGTCAGCCTTACTCAATTCAATAAATCTTCTGTGTTCAACAAATGTGCTTTGAGGTTCACAACCCTCAAAAGCTGCATTTTCAGATGTTTCTTTAATCAGAAGCTGTAGGCAAAACTGCCAAGGTTTTTCTGTATAAAAATCCATGAAGGTAAGTTAATTAAAGCAAATGTGTTAATGAGTAGACAAAGCCCCCAAACAACAAACCCCAGTCTCTTTGGGATTTATCTAACCCTCCACTGGTGAAAAGCAACAGGACATGAAACCAGAGATCACTGAACCTAAAGCTGGCTGTTTGACACAACTGTTTGTTCTTAACTCGACTGAAGCAGCCACTTCTACTGCTGCAAGGCAAGCAAAAGCTGCACCAGGGCTCCATCATTTCTCCTGTTCAACTTGGCAGAGGTAAGCTGCCCTCTTAGAACTTCATCTTCACATTTCTGGAGCTCAGGTCTGTGAGCAGTGTTTTCCAAAGAGAGACTACAACCATTCCCAGGGAGTTTCCTTAGCAGACACAACTGACCAAGTGCTTTTATCCCCTGCTTTGCTGGCTTTAAGAACTCTGGAAATAGAGAACAGGTGATGATGTCTCCTGTCCCTCACATTCCTTCTTTGAAACACACAGGCCTCTTAGCCTGCCTTGCACAAAATCTGTACCCAGAATTAACTAGAAAAATACTTTTCCAGAATTCAAGTGTAGATACATCCTATATAAAACAATATATATGCTAAGTATTGCTTAGACTGAGAAGTCAGATCCAGAATTACATAAACTGTACTCAGTCTGCTGCTTTTCCATATGACTACAAGTTAATGTACAGGATTTATAAAAATGCCTCTTTTCCTTTTCTAAACCAGTTTAATTCCCCCTGCCCCCCAGCTGGGCTTGGTTTTGTGCTGGATTTTTTGTTTGTTTGTTTGATTGATTGTTTGGATTTTGTTAAAGTTAATACTATACCAGTGCTGCAGGAGCAAAAAAACAAGCCAGCAGTTAATACTCAGAGTATTATTTCTGGTTCATTTAGCACTTCATTAACCATTCAAAAATAGATCTGTAGAACAAATTCAGCTGGGAGGAACCTCTGGAGGTTATCTTGACCAACTCCATAATCAAAACAAATCACATACATTTGTTGTCCAATTAAATATAGAGAGAAACAAATCCATTCTCTCCACAGCTCCCATTTGGATTAGGATACTACAAAGAGAAAATTGTAACAGAATTCTTTGCCATGACACATTCAACTTCAAGAGCCAAAGAAAATTCCCATCCAGTTTTAGCATAAATATTTTTGTGGCCTCTTCTAGTCATAGCTACAGACAGGCATCATCCCCTTGGAGCAGCTGGATGTCTGGCTTTTGAAAAGGATGAGACAAAACTCCCACAAGCACGGAATGCAAAGCACAAAAAGCTGCAAAACCCCCAAACCTTTGCTTACACTAGAAGTCACATCTGTTGTCCAGTTAGCCAAAGTGCAAACTCTTATCCTTTCCTTCAAAGTTCTCCCCCTCCAACTTCATCACACACACAAAAATGCAGATATGGCCCATTTTTTTCTCAGTGGGGAGGATTTACTAGATCTCACATATTTTCAGTAATTACAAACCAGTAAGTAAGACAAAACTTAGTTTTAGAATGGTATTTGAAGACTATCTAGAAAGACAAGGATTATTTTTGTCCAGTTCTAAATAACAAAATCAGTTTCTGCATCAGTATTGAAGTTAAAACAAAGTATCTTAGCTCCCCCTCACCCAAACACAACACTCCTTAAATATCCTATTGACTATAATATTTGTTAGCATTCATTAATGTACTCAAGTAGGCAAAGCAAAGCTACATGATGCCAGTCTGGAGCTGCTATTATTTGTGTGATTTAGAACTAATGCATCATCATCCCAATTTCCTCAGGCAAACAAAACCAATGGCAACAATCTTCCATTTGGAAATGAGTGATACTTGCAAGGGGTTTTTAGGTTATTCCTAACACCCAGAGAATCTGCACCAGAAATCTCAAAGATTGCATAAAGAGCTGATGTTTTAAGCACAAAACATAAGAAAGCAGTTTTTGCAGACTGCATGTCAGCCTTAGGCTTGTACTCTAGTCATTTATAGAGAGTTTTAACTCAGAAAGAAATTAAAGTTATGATGATAACTTTCATTATCAAGGTTGTTCCAAGTTGTATCACACATGAGCAAGCCACGAAAAAGCACACCACACACACAAAAACTGAGGATCTGTGGATCAGGAAGTCCATTCCTTATTCCACAACACCTTTTAAAGGTGTGCTTTTCTTCAAATAACTGGAAACCTCTTGTGGGGTTACTCCGTTTGTTTTGTGAGATAGCATGAACTCCTTGCTGGTTGCAGAAATTCATATTCTAAAGCTTTGAACAGCTTTTAAAATAAAAAGTTATCCAGGGAAAAGTGTCCCCCATTTGCTCAGAGAAAGCAGGAATAGCCTGATTATCAGAGAAACAGTTAACTAAGTATTGAACCACTTTATGACTTCCAATAAAGCACAATTGCTTTGTAAACAAATCAGCTACACCCCCTTCCCAAAGAATACTCCAGAAAGAAGAAAAAAAAAAAAAGAAACAAAACTCCCAAAAAAACCCTCTCAGAGCCATCATGCATGCAGAAAAAGCAACAACAAACAGAATAAACTTGTCATTGATACAGAATGGCAAATTGGAGCAGCCAATTACAACCCTTTGCCATGGATTTGCAGGCTGGGATTCTCCTGTCCTGAAAAAACACTGAGCACTGTCTCCAGGTTGCTAAGAATGGCACCAAGTTAACACCCAGGAAATGCAGGGCATCTCACCAGTCAGATTCCAACTGCAGCTCTGGACCCGCAGCATTTACTGTCCTAATGAAAAAGTGGAATATTCCATGGATCCCATAGGAATTGTGTGGTTTCATAAATTTCTCTGTGAACACTGGGATTGGTTGATGTGTGCTTTCTCTACATTGGCTAAAATGTGCTTCTAAATAAGTAACAACTCTGAAAGTTTTCCACTGCTATTCTTTGAGAATAAAGTTATTTGTTGTGAAGCTTTAAGTTCACATGGGGCTTTATTTTAGAGCAGCTTATCCAGTCAGTTCCTCATAGCAGACACATTATTAAATCCCATCACCCTGCATACTGGAATATTCCCAGGAACTAACAAAGTTTGCACACAAGAAGTGGACTTTGATTATTACACTGCATTATAGAATTGCAGCATGGAAGCAACAAGTATGAGTCCACCTCTATAAACTCACTGTGAGATGGAAGAAACTAAAGAATGAGTCAGATCATGATGGGAAAGTTTCTAACTTTATCCAGTGTGATAAATTTGAACACCTGGTATAGCTCAAAGCAGGGATGTGAAGGTACAAATAACTAACAAAACAAAATAGCTTTTTTTTCTATTAAGTTCAACAAAATCTAGACTCAGAACCCAATTTACCACGCCTTTATAAGTTTGCTGCAGAGTTAAATAAAGAAAATAATCATACTCTCTACTGTCTACTTTTAAAGTATATATACTTGCCTTCTGTTTGTTCTGAATAGGTACTGATTATAAAATAACCTTAGTTCAATTAGATCTTTAGTCAAAAAAGAAAAAAATAGACATAAAAATTATAAAAATTGGAGACATACCTATAACAGCTACAGAATTGGCCTGATATCTTAATAACTTAAGGAATACTGAAAACAACTACAAAACCCCTAAAGAAAAACAAACAGTTTTGTTTGTTTTGTGTTTGTGTTAGTTTGGCGAAAGCTTTGCTACTATAGAGTCTACCAGAAAACCATAAATACTGGCAAGAAACAGCAGCTTCGTATATACCATCAATACAAACCGATCTCTGGGTAGCACAAGGTAGGAAAGAAGGTTTTACAGGTAGCAGGGACGGGCCAGTGCTCCTGTCAGCCGAGAGCTCGTGTGCCAGGATCCCCATCCCCACACACACAGACAGACACACACACCCAAGGGGAGAGCTCTGCTCCCAGCGGCATCACCCACCTCGTGGGCCAGGATCCCCACACACACACACAGACACAGACACACACACCCAAGGGGAGAGCTCTGCTCCCAGCGGCATCACCCACCTCGTGGGCCAGGATCCCCCCACATCCACACAGCCATCGGGAGAAGCTCTGCTCCCAGCGGCATCACCCAGCCCATCCCCGGCACTGTGAGCACACTCACAGCGCTCAGCTCCACTCCAGGGGTGGAGACACCCACACTGCAAAACAACAAGCCGCTATTCTTCCTCTCCCGGCTCGCGTCCCTGCCAGCACACCCCGAGCGCGGGCTGCGGCGGGGGAGCGCTGCCGGCCGAGCGCGGCCCCTCAGCCCCGCGCTGCCCCCGAGCCCCCTCGGCGAGCGGCGCTCCGGGAGCGGCCCCTCACGACCCCCGCCTCACTCAGTCACTCACCCGCCCGCCGCGGCCTCCCCGGGCCGGCCGCGCCCGCCGCGCCCCGGGCCGCGCCCGCCGCCTCCCGCCGCTGCGGCCGCCCCGTTCGCCTCGGCCGGTGCCTGTGCCCCGGGCGCGGGCGGCAGCGGCGCCGGCAGCCGCTCCCCGACAGCCGCCGCCTCCCGCACGGGAATAACAGGAAGGGAGCGGGGCTGACCCCGGATGGGGAAGGCACCACCCGCCGGAACGGGAACCGCGGCGGGGGGAGGCGGGAGCGGGCCGGGGGAACGGGGTGTGCTGGGCAAACGCGGGCTCGTCCTGCCCCGCTTGTTGCCCTGATGTCGCTGACACCCCCGTGCCCTGCACATCGCAGCGCGTCTGGCCCAGTCTTGACCCTTTTCCCACTTGGACCGCCAGGTTTCTTTACAATCAGCTGCCACTGGCATCGAGTCGCTGTACGTGAGTCCGGTGTTTTGTTGAAAGAGCGGCCCGCCAAGCGAATGCCCGTACAAATTAGAAGTCGAAGAGAAATTACATTGTAAATGCGCACTCCCAAGTGGGTGCGGATTTTCAGGGTGTGAAATGAGAGCGCTAGGCTGGGGTACCTCGGTGAGAGCCAACAAGATGCAACAAGTGAGGGTGGCACTGAGGTGATGATAGCGAGCAGGGACACGGTTAACCTGCGTTATTAATTGTTAAGGCGTTTTGGCAAATCACCCTATTGTCAAGGGGTATTTATCCTTTCAACAGCAGAGATGGCATAAGCAAGATTTGGAGCCAGGTGTGAACATGGTGAGGGCGTTGGTGAATTCTCTAACTTGGAACAGCTCTCCAAGCCCCAGGGTCTAGCATGGGGCCATACTCACAGCCGTGGGCAGGCTGAGATGCTGCAGGCAGCGCTGCAGTGGGTGGGAGCACCAGAGCAGCCGTGCAGGGCATGGCAGAGCACAGCCTGCAAACCCAGGGCACAGCAGGCTCCGGGAGCATTCCTGCTGCCAAACTGCCCCTTTGCTGCTTCGGCTCCACATCACCACGGCTCCTGATTCCCACCTGCAGCCTCCTTCCCAAAGGGAGCCTGCAACAGAGCCAGAGAGGGAGTTTCAGCAAGGGCATGTAGTGATAGGACAAGGGGGGATGGCTTTAAATTGACAGAGGGCAGATTTAAATCAGATATTAGGAAGAAATTCTTGACTGTGAGGGTGGTGAGACCCTAGCAACAAGACTGCCCCGAGAAGCTGTGGCTGCCCCATCCCTGGAATTGCTCAAGGCCAGGTTGGACAGGGCTTGGAGCAACCTGGGCTAGTGGAAGTTGTCCCTGCCCATGGCAAGGAGGTTGGAATGAGATGGTCTTTAAGGAGACCTTCCAAGCCAAACTCTTCTATGATTCTATGAATCTGGCAAATGGATTTTTTTTTTAAACATGTAACAAAAATTAGTAACAATCAGTGTGTCTAACCATTGGATTGCCAAGTGGGTTGGCTGATGGCTACTGAAAAATCTGGGTGATGGTTTCAGCCTGTAGCGACTTCTCAGCACTTTCCTATTCCAACAAAAGGGGAGAAAAATCAACAGAAACTCCATATGCTTTGAAACAGGGTGGCCCAACCACACGGGTGAGGCCTTGGTGGCTCGAGGGGAAATCATTACTCATTTTGGCTGCGAGCAGCATGAATAAGAAGATGTTTATATATGCAAATCAGGTGCATTGTAACATCTGCTAAAAAGAAAAAGATAATTATATTAAAAAAAAAGAAAAAAAGAGAAAAAACAGTAAATGCTGTTGTGCAGCAGCACGGGTCAGGAGCGAGGACCATGCGAAGCAGCTCCGGGGGGGTGTTTTTGTGCCCGCGGTGCCCAGCAGCGCTGGCGCGGGGCGGTTCGCAGCGGCGGCGGTCCCGCCCCAGCCCGGCCCGGCTCAGCCCCGTCCCGCCCCCGCCGCCGTCACTTCCCGCAGCTGAGAGCGAGCCCGAGCCGGGCCCGGCCCTGCGAGCCCCGGGGCCGCGGTAGGTGCGGGGTGTGCGCGGGGGCTGGCGGGGCTGCGCTCGGGGGTGTCCCGCGGATCCCGGCCCGGTGCCGCCGCGGTCCGTTCCGGGCCGTTCCGGGGATGCGGATGCCTGTCCGTGCCCCTCGGCTGGGCTCTGTGCCTGCCCGGAATGGTGCGGCGCTGCCTGAGCTTGCGGCGGTTCCCAGGCTGTAAGGTAGCAGGGATTGTGGTTTCTAATTGCTGTCCAGCCCCCGGACTGCGAGGCAAGCGGCTTTGCAGGAATGCCTGCGGGGAGTCGGATTTACACCCTGCTTTCTGATACCCCCTTTGACGCAAGGGTTGGTTCTGGGTTGCTGAATGTGTGTCCCCATCAGCGGAGGGTCAGTGCACCTTAAGGTAGAGCTGTGCATGCTGTGTGTGTGTTTGGTGCTGCCTTCCGTCCCTGCAGCGTTATAAAACAAGCTGCCTTTCAGGGGAAATGTGTAGGCCCAGCCCGTGGCCAAAGGAAACTTTCTGGCACAATTACATTAAGAGATGTCCATGTATTGATGGATGAGTGAACTTGAGAAGAAATGCTTCCCGTAGCAGTGAAACTCACAGCTTGTTCACCATTTCTGCTTCTTTCATCTCTGTTATTAGTTGCCTCAGCTGCATTTAAAAAACAATTCTGGTGGGAACACATGGGTTTCTCACTGTGCTTTATTCATTTCTCCTAGCAAAGTCACGCCATGCCTTCCCCATCCTTAGACGTGTGGCCAGAGCAGCTCCTTTCCCAGCCCAGGGAGGTTTCTCCCCTTTAGGTGGGCATCACCAGGCTGTGGCACTGGGTCTCCTCCTCCAGTGCGGCCCTTGGGATGCCCCAAGGAAAGGAGGGAGCACCTGTACCCCTCTCATCCTCTCAAGGACAGCTGGCATGGCATGGAAGTGTATCCTGGCATGGCTGAGCTCTGAGAGGTGCTGTCCTCAGGCAGAACGGCTCCTCAGCCCACCTTGGAGAGCTGCAGGTCCTTACCCTGCCTTGGGCTGTGCTGGCTGGGGTCCCTGGTGATGGAGGTGCCTTGTTCCTTTGCTGTGTCCTAGGGTAAAGATCTTACAGCTTCTCATGGGAAGGGAAAGGAGGAGTTAAAAATGTTCCTTTTCCTTCTCCTGTAACAACCAGCAGCGGAGGATTAAAGGGACCTGTAAATACACTGATTTTTATTTTCTTATTTATAATACCAGTAAGAGAGAAACGAACATAACTTGAGCAATTTCGGTGGTTAAAGATCACCGTCAGAGGAAAACCAGAATTACATACATTGCATAAGCCAAATCAAGAAGTCTTACTGTGGAAGTTGCTCATGCAGCCTTAATTTTATTTTCAGACAACTGCTTACTTTAAGAAACAGTAAATGACCTTACAGTTAAAGATTTTCTAAGAGTATTACATTATACCTTTCCCCCTGTAGATATAGATCCTGTAAGCACTGTTTCCTCTTGTATATGACAAATCCCATTTGTGACAGTTGCAGGAAAATGCAATGCAACGAATCCTCATGCAAAATTAAGCAGATGAATCTCAATTGCCATTTACTGTGCATCTCTTTATGTTGTTCTATGGAGTATTTGGCTATAATTTACTCTCATTTTAAGGTAAGAGGCCCATTATACTCATGTAATAAAACTCTGAAATTAGCTGGCATGTTTACCTGCTTGCATAGGTGATTTAAACTGCCTTGATAGGCCTGTGTTATGATGTATTTAACCAACATGAATGTGAACTTGTTCCATCTGTAGTCCCACAGAAATTAATTAGACTGTCTACAGAGTACTAGTTGAGGAAAATAAAGATAAAAAAGTTGTCTTCTGTTCTGTTTAACCAGGGTCATGTGTGCTGAAAATAGGAAAGGGGTTAGGTAACACTACAGAATTTACACTGCTGATGGATGATTTGCAGCACTATTCCTCTGTGTCCTCTTCCTTCTTTGTGGTAGATTCCAGCTCTGAAATTTTGCAGAGCCTTGGTGGTGGAGTAATAATATAAACATGAAAACTCATGATGGCTCTGTTACTGCCCTAAAACATTGTCCCCAAGCCGGTGCATACTGGCTTTAAAAGAAATAATTTCAATCTTTTTCCTTACCTTTAATATTAGTAATAAGTGAACTGCCTCCAGTCTTGTATTAGAGTAAGTTTGGGTTTGAGATAAACATTTCAGAAATGATTTTGTCACTTGAATGCTCTAGTCCCATTCATTCATTCATTTCAATTATGTTTTATTTTTCCTAACAGAACAGATCTCTCTGGGAAGAGAGATCCAAAGATAACACAGTACCTAAAATTGCAGGCTTCAACTGGGATTTTCCATAGCTTGAGTGTGGAAGGTATTTATCTTCAGCTAATTTTAGCAGATTGAAAATCCCGGAAGTTACCCCAGATAAATGCTCTCTGCTTCTGCAGGTCCCTAAATGCCTTTGAAGTCCCTATTTTCTAAAGCAACTCGGGAAAAAAATTCCTTGGTGGCATTTCATTTACTTTTCCCTAATTTTACACAAGTGTTGCTTTAAAATGCAGATGTGTCTCTTTATTTGCTTAAACAAATGAACAAAGCCCAGAGCATAAACATGGTTGGTGCCAGTGCAGCCCTAGCTGGGAGTGATCTGCAAAGGCCAAGATAATGCTTCTCTTGATCCCAGTGTGCCACTGAACAGGATTTGTTATGATAAGAAGCTAATAAGACATGAACAAAAGTAGCTATGCCTTAATTCATAATGTCACTGCTCTGTATTATTCTAGGGATGTTCATCTGGGCTGTAGATGTGATTTATAAACTTTAATTAAATAAATCTCTCAGAACCTCTTGTTGGAAATGTGGAGCTAGTTCCAATAACTTGAATTAACTGAGAAATAATTGAATAAAGGTTTATATGAGATAAGTTCTCCATTTTGCAGAACAAGATGTAGCTTTAAATGTTGCATTGCTTGTAGTTAGTAATGGAAATGTGAAAAATAGCTCAAGGTCGTTCAAGAAGACCATGGGAGAGAGCCCTTGGGAGCTGAGTGTACAACAAGGTGTGCTCCAGCTTATTCCCACTCTCTCTCTTTTGTTGTCTTACTGGAGAAAAGCTTTTCCTCAGTAAAGTCTTTGAGGGATAGATGTGTTTATGTATTTTGCATCTACCTATATACAATAAATCTGCTTTGAAGTATTTGGGTTCTTTGTAAATGTCCATTGCAGTAGTCTGCTGTGATATTTGTTTAGGAGTGAGCTTGTCCCTGGGCTTCCAAAGGAGGATGTGGGCAGTGCTTGTGTCCCCCCAGTGACACAGCTCTGTGTGCTGTGCATGGTCCCCACTTCTCGTGGGCATGGAGCAGTGGGGGGAGTGTGCTGTTGTCAGGTGCTGTGGGTGTCAGGAATCTTCACCTGCCACGGGACCCACTTCTTATATAAGTGTCTTGTAATCTGGCCCTGGTTGTCTGGGATGCTGCTGTTCCCGTGGGCGGCAAAGTGTTGCAAACTGACTTTATCCTGCTTGGCATTTTGAAAAGGCATAAAGTAGAGGCAGTGGAGTTACAGGAATTGCCGCTGGATCCTTGATGTTCCTGTTCTTGTTGCTTATTTCAGCATTTGTGTCTTTCTGGTCTAGATCTGAAGAAGACTCCTCCTCCTTCAGCAGTAGCATGCCCATAGTCTCCCTGGCCAATGATTCTTCTACAGCAAGCAGGACTTCTTCCTCATCCTGAGAAGCCTTCATCCCTTCCTATGTCAGTGGCTACAAGGCCAAGAGCCAGCTCACCACTGTCCCCACCAAAGTCTCTCGGACTGGGGCCTTCCTTTCATCACACACAAGAGGAGGAACTTGCCAAGGTGGTGGAGCAGGACCCTATGCTGGAGGAACTATGTAAGCCCCTGTGCTGTAAGCTTTGCAATGTCACTCTGAACTCGGCCCAGCAAGCCCAGGCTCATTACCAGGTAAGGAGAGCAGCAGGAGGCTCAGCTTTTGGGGCTGCTGCATCTGCAGCTTGTGGAGACATTCCTGTGCCAGCACGAGCACTGCCAGCAGCGTTGCTGTGGCAGCACAGAGGGAAGTGTGGGCTAATGCAGGAGGACTAACTCAGCTTCTCGAGGGGGTTTTGAGTGCTGCACATGAACAGCAGCATTCAACTTGCTCATCTGGAGCTTCCTCTGCACCACCTCATGGACTGAAACTGCTCTGTAGACATATCTTCACCCTGCTTGGATTTGCTGGTTGTCCAGATGTGCTGCAGTGCTTTCTTTTAAGGTGTTGTTACTGGATCTTTTTGCAAACGCTGTCCATGGGGACAGAGAAGAGGTGTCAAGATGGCTTGGGTGAAAAAGCAGACACTTGTGATTTTTCCTTTGTTTTATGCAACCTGTATTTGACATCTGCACTAGTTTAGTAAAATTGACCTTCTGATTCCAGACATGATTTTGTGAGGCCTGGACAGGCGTTTTCTGCTGGATCCAGCTGTGCCATTAGGAAAGGGGCTGCTGCCATGTGTTTATCAGAGTCTCCTTTCTGAGGCTGTGCACAGCACTGATCTGGTGGGGCCCTTTATGCAAACACTCTCATCAGCTGGGTTGGCTCAGATCAGATTTATTTTGTTTAAGCTGATCTTGTTGACTTGCCTGATATAGGGTAAGGACTCTTTGCATATGATTCCTGCTGAAAGATAGAACATGTCAGCCTTGCATTACCCCATTTTCATACACCCTCTCTGCCTAGTGCTATGTTTGCATGAGTATTGGAAATAGTGACTTTCTCCACCAGTGAGTGCAAAAGGGTGATTGTCCATAGCCTCAGGACACCAGACCCAAATTTCAGATTTGCTGTTGGACCTGAAAAAGTGGTATCCTGCTAGTGAAGGGGTAGGTTGGATTGGTGTTACACTTCTAACATCTTATTTTTGCAGAATTTCTGCCGTGACGGGACAGAAGTGATTTTTTACATATTGCATTTGCCTTTCTGTGCATCCACAATATGCATATACATAGTTTCATGTTATTCTACCAGGCTTTCAGAACACCAAAAACATTTATGATATATGTTTTTCAAGAGAAAATAAAATATGATGTGGGTTTTAAATTCAATCTCATGTTTTAACTCAAGCTTGTGGTGTCATGAAATGTGTGTTGTGTGTTCAGGCTTATCAAAAAGCTGTGCAAAACAAGGTAGTCTTAAAACACACAATACTGGTTTGGAAATGGAAACAGACTGAAAAAGTAATTGTAAACTTATTGAGAAAATCAGCTGAAGAGGGGGCCCAGTCATTCTAGGTGTTGAGCATTTTGGAGAAAGGGAGGAACGCCTGCATCTCTTAAATTCAGAGCTGGGTGACAGCTCCTTTACCTGAGCTGCCACCTTCATGGGCACTTTCTCATTTCAGTCTCTGGATCCTTTGTCTTTCAGAGTAAGACACTATTATTAGGACAGTGATTAATCTGGGTTATCTTTGCAGGGTAAGAACCACAGTAAGAAGCTGAGGAATTACTATGCTGCCAACAGCTGTCCAGCACCTGCCAGGATGAGTAATTCTGTTGAGCCTGCCCCACCTCAGGTTGTCACCCTTCCAACTCAGGTAAGGCATGGCAAGGGGGCTGAGATCATGCTTGCTTGTCACCTAACCCCAGTTAGGATAACCAGATCTCAGGCTTGAGGATTACTGCAGGAGTTGGGAAAGAATTTTCCTTGTGATGGCACAAGATGGTGGAAATGGCCCGTTGTGAGCTGTTTGCTTTCCTTTGAAGATGCAGATATTGATCTGCCCTTGCAGCACAATGTTGGACTTCAAATGTTCTATTTCTGCCTGGCAAATACTTTGATTGCTAGGTAAGTCTGATGTGCTGCTGATTATAGCTGTGTAAGGGCAGGTATAGAGCAGAATTGCTGGAATTGGATTTGGATGTGAGGGTGTGGCATCTGCTCTGCACAATCATCCCTCTGTTGTGTGGGGGAAGCCTACATGGAAAAAGTGCTTTGGTGCTCCTACACCCATTGCCCAGGGCTGTTAGCTAATTCCTCTTTTGTTACTCCTTTTGAAGTGCTCATTCCTGTGTGCAGAGTGAATGGATTGTTCCCTCAGTGATCCTGATTAATTCTGTTTTGGGCACATTAGAGGAAAAAAGAGCTGTTTTTTGCTATCTCCTTCTAGAATTCATCCCTTGGGTTTATCATGAGATGTGACAGCTAACCTGGCTTTTGCCTGTGACTGTGCAGGGAAGCACAGCTGGGTTGCAGGGATTGAAGCTGCAACATAAGGCTGTGCTGCCTGTAGGGAAGCAGAGATCATTTGCAGAGTGACAGACTGTTCTTGGCCAGAGGGAGATTTGGCCCCGTGTAAATTGGCATTGCAGCTCATGGCTGTGAACTGGGATGGCGTGGGGTCCTGCCCAGGGCATGGAGATGTGGCTGCTGTACCTGCCAGGGTATCTGGTGGTGTGTTTTTTAAAGGAGGAAATGGCCCATGGCAATAAAAATACCTCTAGGGCCATGTGAGGGTTCACATTGTAAGTTAGAAATCAGAACTGTGTGTCTCTAAGTTTGAGCAGTGTCAAAGGAGATGTGAAAGAATGTTGGTTTGTCAAGTGCTGCAGTGACATGGCTGCATGAATCACTGCTGCTGCACTGTTTACAAAACACTTTTGCCTGGATGTGACGTGCTGAGGAGGCATGGCTCCTGCCTGGATCACTGTATGTGGTCTGACTCCACAGACACATGAAGGTGTCCTTCACAGAGCAGCAGCTACTCATGTGAGACTGGGTCCTTCCTTTGAAGTCTGGATCCAGGTGTCCTCCCACCTGAAGGTTAAGGATCAGAGGTTTGGCAGCTTTGCTACTGTTTTTTTTTCCCTCTTGCTGTGGTCAGGGAGCTGTAAAGACAGGGCGCTGTGGAGAGATTAGATGGACTGTAAATAGGAGAGAGCAGCACCTCTACCTTTCAGTGGGTGTTCTTAAGAGTGAAAGTCACTGCTCATCAGCTCCCAGCAGTTAGGAGTTAAATCATTGCTGTGATGTAAACAAGCCTCTGTGGCTGTTGCAGAGCTGTTTGTTCAGATTGCTTTTCTCTCCACCTCAGGCCAGGCATTTGCAGGCTCTCCTGGAGGCAAGGCAAGAACAATGCATTTTGTGTAAGAACACTTTGGGGACAACTTGAGAGTGTCCTAATCCATGGGCTTTAATTCCAGCTCTCCTGCTGTCTGATGAGAACGGCAGTGGTCTCAGTCCCTGTGATTGAAATATTTCAGCTTATATTTAACCTTCTTGTGTTTCACATGCTGTCTCTCCCTTTGCTGCTAGATGGGATCCAGCAAGCCAGGTGGCCGAGTGATCTTGGCTACAGAGAATGATTACTGCAAGCTTTGTGATGCCTCATTTAGCTCCCCGGCTGTGGCTCAGGCTCACTACCAAGGGAAGAATCACGCCAAGCGGCTGCGCCTTGCAGAGGCACAGAATAACTCGTTCTCGTAGGTATTGTTCAACCTCATGCTCAGGCTGAAAGCGTGTGCCAGTGTCTCTGGCAGCCCTTTTGTCAGAATACCCTGAATTGCAGCTGTTCATATTTGTGTAATCTGCAGGGATGCCTCAGAACTAGGCAAACGAAGGGCAAGGAAAGAAGGGAATGAATATAAGATGATGCAGAACAGGAGAAACACGTATGCGGTTCAGAACAACACAGGTAACTTGGAGCTTGTATCTATTCTGTAGCTGGAATAGTAATTAATAATAAATAGACTTGGTTTTCTTCTGTTTCTGAGATCTGTTTTAGCAGAGTCAGGTTGTGAAAGTAGCTGGTCCAAGCTCTGCTGATCTTTTATATCTGCATGGGTTTTTTTTCCCCAGCTGCTAAAGTTGCTTTGTTTTGTCAGCCTGCTTGTTAGTTCTTTTTCTCAGTTTGTAACTTAATTTACCATCTGCCTGTCTCTAAGGCTGCTCTAAGTGGTGACAGTTTTCCTGCTTTATTTTCTTGGCAGGTGGCCAGGTGCTTTGACTCCTACTGTGGCACATCAACCTGTACTTGCACTCCCATGACCAGAATGAGAGAGCATGTTAGCCTCCCTCTAAGACCATCTGTTTCTAGCATAGAGTCCTTCCTCAGGTGTTAGATACTAACTTTCCCTCTTTACTGTGATTTAAAGAGTGTATTACAGCCTCCAGCCGCGCATCTATTTCTCTTTTTCACTTTAAGTTGTTTTACAAGCACACATTAGCTGTAACCCTGATTCCTGGTGAAGCTCGGTTTAATCACATCATTCTAATCACTGTCACGTGGAAAAGATAAATCTTTTAAAGTTGTATTAAATATAATTTTGTGAGTTTTAAACTGAAGCAGCTTGGTATAATGAAAAGACTATTCCAGTTGTGGAATTAGATGGTTAAGAAAAAAAAGTATTGATTAATTATTAAATCATTAAATTAAGTTGTTAAAAATTATTAAGTTGTTAAAAATTATTAAATTATTAAAAATTAAATTATTGGATTCCTGATTTTGAATAAGACTGGGGCATTAAGCTCACTCTACTACTTTATAAAATTCCAAGTGCTGTCCTGTGGGCTACACCTCCGTAAATCTGGAAACCAGCAGAGGAGTTGTGGGGAAAATAAGGATTGATTCTAATCTGCTAAAGAATCAAATCTTTGGTTGAAAAGCACACATCCATTGGACTTAGGCATTGTCACGGAGCTGCCTCAAGCTTTGATTCCTCACAGGTAAACCAGGCTTTTGTGTCGTGTCCCCAGGTCCCTACTTCAACCCGCGCTCGCGGCAGAGGATCCCCCGTGACCTGGCCATGTGCGTGACGCCCAGCGGGCAGTTCTACTGCTCCATGTGCAACGCTGGGGCCGGCGAGGAGCTGGAGTTCAGGCAGCACCTGGAGAGCAAGCAGCACAAGAGCAAAGTGTCCGAGCAGCGCTACAGGAACGAGATGGAGAACCTGGGCTACGTCCAGTGACGCGCCGCCCTCGGTAGTAGTTTGCAACTAGAGCAGCTTGTCTCTCGCCTGCTGTTTGCCACGTGCCCTGCTTTGTGCTCCATTGGGTAGGAGTATGCTCTGAGCTGTACATGTAACACCTGCAAACTTACTGGTATGGTTAGGTTTTTTTTCTATCATAGTCGGCAGGATGACGCTGTGCAGGACATGAAGTGTTTTTGGTGTTTGTTTGCTAATTATCTAAGGCTCTTCATTGTGTTGAGTGGCAGGGAGGAACTGTGTCTTCTCCCCGGCCTTCTGCATGAATATGCAAAGCCCAAGAAGTGCTGGAAACTTCTGTGGTCCTACCACGTGGGTGGACCGTGTGTAAAGCCCACTCCCCTCTTGGCACACCACAGAGCAGTGCTCCAGAATGCTTCCCTATGGCAGACTGACTCTCTGGGCAGCTTGTAAAAGAGGGGAAGGAGTAGGGCCTGTGAATGTGTGAATTAGGTGGTGTATTTGTCTACACTTTGCTGCTTCTGGCCCCCATTACAGTCCAGAGTAGGTTCTTTCCACATCCTTGTAGAAAGGCTGTGCATACCTCTTCTCCTGGGAGGATCTTTCCTCTTACTGCTTCCTCTGCGATGCAGATTCCATTCTGAACATCTGACATGGATTTCAGCTGACTAGCCCCATTCAGAAATACTCTTCTACTCTTGCTATTGTTGCCTGGACACCTTAATATACCATGGGTGTAGCTCATCTCCCTGATCTCTGGGGATCTCAGTGGCTTAATGAAGTGAACTGGAAAGCAAACCTGCTCAGGTGAGATGTGCTGTGCTCCGATTCTGCCTTAGAATGAGTCAGGTTGAGAATAGATAGAAGGAGCTCTCAGCTGTGATTTCTTTGCATGTTGATGTAGAAGAGAGGAAGAGTTGGTCTCTGGCCTGCAGTCCTTGCTCTGGAAGAGCAGAGCTGCCTGGACTCTGGGTAGCAGATATTGGTGTGTCCCACAGCCATGCCATTCCCTGGGCTAAGCCTAATGGGTGTTTATAGAGCAAAGATGAAACTTCTAGCTTTGAACTAGAACTACCAATATTGGTTGATTTCCCCCCCCTCTTTCTTTTTCCATCTCAGGATGGGTTTTAATTCCATTCCTTGATGTATACTTGACTGTTCCAGGGACCATCAAAAATCCAAAGTTATGTAGGATTTAAATGTCAGGGTGATGATTGACTGTTTGAGTAACAGCTTTTTGGCCTCATGGAAGTATTCAAGAAACTTGTTAAGCGACTTTTGAATTGTAGGCAAACTCAGAAGGGGTGTGTGTGTTTGTTTTGATATTCCTTAGCAAAAGTAGGAAGGGGAAAAAGAGCAGAAGTAGGGTTGTTAATTATTCTTCTGCTTGTTTGGGTAGATGTGAGGAGCTGTGATTGGAGTCCAGTTCAGTGTCATTAAACATGGTCTCCAGTGGCAGGTGCAGCATGTCGGTGGCTTTTGTTGGACCTGATCCCCCACTGTGCTGCTGGAACTGTGCACTGGTGCAGCTTCACTGACTGCAGTGGCAGGTGCAGAGAGAGGGTCCAGGATGCACCATGGCTCATCTCTCACCCCTCTTCAGGCAGCTGGAATTGGATGCAGCTCCATTAGTTTCAGTAGGATTTTAGCAGGGATGAATTGTTCCTAGTGCATAGTGTTGAAGGTAGCTCCCCCCTCCTTTTATTGCCATTCTGATCCTGCCTCTTGCATTCCAGAAGGACTTTCTGCTTGCCTTAAAAAATGAAGAATGAGTAACAAAAAAATCCAGATAGTCTTTATTCATCTTCCTAGTCCACCTTCAAAAGGTCTGTTGCACTTGGCTGCTCCTCAGAAATTAAATGTTGTTTTCTTCAGCTCCCTGAATGAGCATCAGGGAGCCATACAACCTGAATGCAGCCTTGCTGAATCCAGGCAAGGTGAGTGCTTGCAAAGTAGTTGAACACAACCCCCTAGATCATTCCTGCCCTGCAGATAGAGGCAGAGGAATGGGTGTCCTCATGAATGGGATTCCTTCCCCTCCTTTGTGCAGAACTCAGTTAAATGGGGTTTGTGCCCTGCAGCAGGTGAGAAGGTAGAACAGGAGCCCAGGTTGTAGAGCACTCACTCAACAGTTCTGACAGCTTTGTAAGTCTGTTTCCTCTGTGCTTTCCTGCCCCTACCTCCCCTCTGTGTAGCCTTGAAGAACATTTGCCTTTCCAGAATCTCTCATCAGCCTTTCTCCCTCATCATTTGTATTGACAGAAGGGCTCTGGTTTTCTCTTTGTGTCCTGTCCTTAGGTTTGCCAGTCTGACACCACTGTCCAGAGGGGCAGAGGGAGTTAGATGAGCCTTACCACAATGTGCTTCAGCACAGTGATCCCTGCATTATGGTTAAACATCCCTCTGGCTGTAAATTAAAGCATGGCATTTCCTACAGGCTGCAATTAGTAGCAGAAAAACAACCCTTTGTGAAATATGAGCTGGAGGAGCTGTAGGTACTGCTGCTGTCTGGCTTATTGCTAGGGGTGAGGAGGCATTTTTGCTTGCTTTCACATGTCCCAAAAATCAGCTGTTCTCCACTTAGCTTTGGTTACTGCTCCTACTCCCAGCCCAGCCATCTGCTCCTTGTTTGGCATTTCCAGTGGCTGCTGGAGGTGTCAAAACGTGGTTTGCTCCAGCTGTGCAGAAGTGCCACAGCCCAGTGCTGGTGCTTTTGTGAGGCATGTGCAGGGGGCTGTTCTTGCAGGCTCCTCTCTGCTTGAGGCTGAGTCTGGTTTGGAGAGGTGGCTCCAGTCTGTCCTTAGCAGAGAAGCCTGAATCTGCTTTGTTCTGTTCAAGGGAGTGCAAGTGAATGTGATCATCCTGGTGATTTCAGAGTGATGGCTTGTAGAGCAGGCAGTGGGACTCAGGTAGGACAGATTTCCTCCATGGAAGGAAAGATGTCCTGCTGGGAGAAGCAGCTGAGACTGGCTTTGCCTCAGTGCTCTGATGTGGCCCTTCCTGCAAGCTGCCAAAGCTTTCCTCTCCCTCTTCAGCATTGCTTAGTGGCTTGTGATCTTCCCACTCCCCTTTCAGCATAGGAAGTTGCTGACTGCAAAGAGAAAACACCCAACCTCCCCATTGTCCTTAGGGTTCAGGACAATCCAAACTCGTACTTGTCAACATTAGATACTGAGTAGCTCCTGATTTTATTTCTTTTTGTGAAAGGTGTTCTCCAAACCCCTGTTCAAAAAATACTGAAAACACATTCTGGGCAAACCCTTTTGACAAAGGTGGGCTGGGGAGAGCACTGTACAGCTGAAGTGCCATTTTCCAGACCCAGATAATCTTTTTCTCATGTTAAACCAAGTACCAAACCCAAGAAACAGGACTTCTGTGAAGCTGTCACATTGGCCAGTAGGTTAATGACCTTTGCTGCTAGAAACAAAATGTAAATCAATATGTTCATATTTATTTTACTGTGCTGACCACTAATTGATTTGTTAATATTTAAGGCATTATGCTGTAGGTTGTTTTTAAATGGAGAAATTCTACATCGCACTTTGCTTTTGGATCAGAACAATTATTTATTGTATTTGTGAAAATGTTTTTCCTCCCACATAGCTGTTGTTTTCTTTCCCAAAAAACCCAACCAGACCCAAACAGCAAAACCCACCCCAAATCCCCCCAACCAAATCTGACCTCTGGATCTTTGTTTCTTTTCATGCTAAACAAAATGGGGATTTCCTTGCAACTTGTTATTAAATGTCAATTTCCAATTCCTTTTTCCTCAAATGATTCCTTTGCTAACCCGGGATGTTATTTTTAGAGCCACAGAGTTCATGCTTCATTTAAACATTCATTTCTTTTAAGGCAAGGAAGTAAACCATGTGGAATCCATGAATTTGTGAGGAGTATGAAAGTGATACTATTTTCTTTGTATTAGGCATTAGCTTTTGTTTTACATTCTGCACTAATGAGTAAATCTGTTACAATCTTGCCTAACATCGGTCTGTTTTTGACTTTTTGCTTTCTTCATGCACATTGAAAGGAGCCCTGAAAACTTCTGTGGAGTTGCTTAGGATGGTCATCAGTGTAACAAAAGGCAGATTTTTTTCTGTAAAGCTGCTTATTTCCTTTCCTAGATGCCCATTATAGGGCATTAGAAGGGAGAGCTATTGCCATAAGCATGGATTCATATTTTAGCTTACTAATGCTTGATGTCCCTTTGCTACATTACTTAAGTGATGCTCTCACTGTAACCAATGGGAATTTTGCCTGGGTCAAGAGTAAATTAAATACCCAAGGCAGAGATATTATGTTGGCTGGGGCCAGGCAAGGTACATTGCTAAGTTTGTCTTTTCCTCCTCCATTTGGATTACAACACTCTTATGGTTTTGCTTTTTGAGGACCATTGATCTGGTTCTGTAAGGATTTGGTCTTGCTCCAGCTAAAATAGTTTGAAGTACCTTGACTTTAGTTTAGTTAGGAGCAAGGCCTGAAAACCTTCAGGAATTTCTCACTGCTGATGTTTTATATGTGTTTTTTGGTTTGTGATTATTTTTTTTTTAATTTTACAACCACACATGCAAGGATGCTCTGGATGAGATGGACATCTGTTGCTGATTATGGAAAAACAAATGCCATGGTTGCCAAAGGATAACAGAAAGTGGAGAAATAGGGACCTGGTTTGTTTGAAGTTAGTGGCTAAGCTTCTTTTATTTTGAACTGGGTTTACCACCTGCATAAAGTTGGAAGGGAAAATAAAATCCACTTTGAAATGAATGTGGTCAAACAGTAGTTCTGGGAATCTCTCCTTTAAAAAATGTATCACAGTTAAAATTGTGTCAGCTTACCTGAAATACCTGCAGGTAAAGACAGAACTGAATTTTTGAAAATAAAGTCAGCTTTTCAGTTGTATTTTGCAGGGGAAAAATGACTTGATTTAATTTCCTTCTGCATCTGTCCAGCAACACCATTTGCAAGTGCTTTGAACATGTTTCATCTAGAGCCTTCTTGTCAGGTTGTTTTGTACATTTTTCCTTATTTCCTTTATATTGTTCTGACCCCTGTGAGGGAATACTTGATGAAAATGAATTTTTTTTTTTCTTCTTCATTATATAATAAACCATATTGCTCTTACCATTGCACTGCCCTGATGTTTGGTGTTGCTGCTGCTCATGGCTGGAGTGGGAATGACTGGTTTAGCCCAGCACTGAGTGCAACTACATGAACATGTTTTCACACACTGATAAAGGAGTATAATTCAAGGTAGAATGTGTTACTCTGGAGGGAGGGTCAGTGTACTTCCAGCTCTTACTGAAAGCCAGCTCAGAGCTGTCTTGGCTTTGGGAGGAGGGTTTGGGAGTGCTCAGCATCTGCAGGATGGGAGGCAGGAGGACACAAAAGGCTCTGTGTCTGTCTGTGCTTTCCCCTTGAGTGGACATCACAAGCTCTGCTACAGACCAGGCTGAACCATGGACTGACTTTCAACTCTGGCTGTGAAAAAGTGGGGACAAGCTGAGCCTGACACTTAAATTTGCACATTTTTTTTACCAGAGTGCTGTTTCCCCCTTTCATTACTTGAGGGCTCCAGAAGAGCATATGCTTGTGCAGCATAAATGACTTTCCAAACTGAAAGGGCATTCTGAGTGGAGCCTTGGAAGCAGGGAAAATCTGGGTTTTTTGAGTTCAGCTCAGGTAAGAGCAAAGCACAGCCCTTGTGTGGTGCTGCAGCTGTGCTGTTGGTGCAGTGAGGCGTTGGCCTCAGGGGCAGGGCCCTGGGGACACACCAGGGGCATTTGGGGTGTGACTGCTGTGTAAAATCAGCTGTGAACAGGGATGTGTCCCTGCATTCCCCTATCCTCTCCTATTCCAGGCTTTGGCCCTTACAGAGAACACTGACACTGGTGGGATTATCCTGATTTACCTTTTGGCATGAGAGCTGCCTCTGTGCTTAGGTGACTTCTTCTGTGCTAACAGTGAAATGCTGGAGGTTTTATGTGTTCTCTCTTACAGTAAATAGAGTCATAAAAACTTGTAAGTGCAGTTTAATGTTAAATTTCACCCCAGCCCTTCACTGTTTATGTTTATCTGGGCTGTGTTTGGTCATCCTGGAAACCAAACCCCTACAAAGCAGCACATCCCCATGATCAGGTTTCTCTGGTAAAGCACTGCCTTTTTAATACTTGCATGTGGTAATTGTATTTTATACCAATTCTATAGCAATTTGGCACAGCCAAAAACCATGGTGATACCTGGGCAACCTAACTGAGAGTCACAGGCATTTGCTGAATTACTCAGCATATAAAATACTACAAAATAAAGATGAAAATCACAGACTGTGTAATTTGGAAGCATAAATAGCTCTTCTTCTGCTTCTACAATTACCCTGTTGTCTAAGGATTTCATGTAGTTGTCCTGCAACATTTTACAATTGAGGAAGTAAAATTTGGGGGAAAAAATTATTTGTCCAGAAAGTCTGTGGCTAAAAAGGAAAGTTGAACTCAATGCTTTTGAATACCAAGCTGCTGTCCCTGCCTTCTCTCCATCTAGCCTCCCTGCTCCCAGGATGATGAAAGTGACTGGATTTTAAAACCAATTTGATTAATAATAGTTGGATTTTCATTGTTCATGTAGTGGCTTTATAAAGCATTAGGACTTTGGCATGTGGTTTAAAAATAATGAATCCTGACAGAGATCTTCCAGTATTGTTTCTGCCATTAGACCTTAGTGGAGATGTGGAAAAACAACAGCTTTTAGGAGGATTGTAAAGGATGCAGGTTTGCAAAGTGCAGGTTTGGAGGCTCTTCTGTATTCATTTATGTCCTCTTCACATAAATTCCCTTTATTCCTACTTCTAGTTCTCCTAAAGCATTTGGAGTGAAGGACGCTTCTCTCTTTTTGAATAGTAAAAAGCTGCTGTAACAGATAATATCAAGGATTTATTGGCCTATCCTTCAGGGAATGATGTGCTTTTGACTGGCCTTATTCCACTGGGCTTCCTTCACCTCTCCACCTGAGTGAAACAGGAGCAGAGCTGTGTCAAGTCACTGGAATTACATGAGGGTAAAGAGAGATAGGAAGATTATCCACAGTGTATTATCTGAGACTAGGGAATGTGGCAGGTGTTTGCACTACATATAAAGATGTTAAAAAAATATTAATCTAAGGCTTGTTTTACAGTATCAAGGTACCAAGACACTGTGAGTGAAAGAACAAGGTGTGGGGTTCTAAGAAGAAATGAACAGAGTTGCATGAGAATTAAAATAGGCTGCATTTGGTGTGTCTGTGGAATTTTGTGCAGGAATTCAGTATTCACCTGAAGAAGCAGACTATATACTTTACTAAATGCAACATGACCAATAGTGTGAAAAACACAAAAGTTGGAACATAGGTATGAAAAAAAAAAAGGAAAGTCAAATGTCCAAATCCCTGTGCACCAGAAGAGATGATGACATACAGCTTAACACCTATGTTGAGGAGTCTGGAAAGAATACTTCAGAATTAAGAGACTTGTAGAAAGAGTATAATGATGCCAAGAATCTCTTGTTGCAGCTGACTGGAGAGTTTGGGGGCTGAGATGTCATTTATGACAAAATGTCCTTTTGCTCTTTGTGAACCTGTGTAGGTGGGGATTGTTTCAGCAAAGGGAGAGGCTCCTGTGCAAGGCAGGGCTGTGGCCTCAGAAGCCTCCAGGGGCAAATTCTGCCATGGTTGTGCTTGCTTGTCCCTTT